ACCCAAAACCTCTCTCTATGTTCCAATTCTATTTTCGAAAATCCAACCAAAGCTTCGACCAACAGAAAGAGAAGCCGAATCCTTTTTTAAAACTTTTTCCAACCTCAAAAATCGCCAACCAAATTTCCATCTCCAAAAAAAAAACTCTAACGAAGAGGAGAAACAGTAGGAGAGACCAGTGGGAAAATCTAAGCCAAATTTCTTCTTCTTTGCTAAATTTTTTTTGACCAAAATCTCCAACCTCTTCCTTGAAGATGGAAGGGGTTTATATAGGGGAATATTAGGGTTTTTTAGATTGGGAGGGCGGGAACGAATCTGGGACCATTGATTTCAAAATTTGAAATCTTTTCCATTGATGGAGCAATATCTTTTTCTGAAAATTTCGCCCTATTCCGAAAGAGGAAGGGCAGAGCGGACGGTCGGGATGGAGAGAAATGTCCTTGGCGGCTGCGTGTCTCGATCTGGGGCTGCGAGGACAGTCTGCGTGCTGGCGAGGACGACTATGTCGCCTTGCGTGTTGCAGACTTGCGTGGCAGCGGAAGGACGCAGGCTTCGTCCTCTCTCGCTTCGCTCACGCGCGATGAAGAGAGGAGAGGAGAGGAGGGAGAGGATTTTGGGGAGAGATGGAGGGAACGTGAGGGAGACGCGGAGCGTTTGGGAGATATTTCCATTTTTGGGAGTCTGCTTCTTCTGCGTTTTTCTCTGTTCTTTTTTCTTGGGGTTTCTGGCAATGGCGTCTGTTTCTGGGAATTATTTTGTTGGAGTTCTGTTTTCAGGGGGGGAACGCGTGGGGGGTTGAAGAATAAAGGGGAGGGGGTCGCGGGTTATTGGATCGAGGCCGGGTCGGGTAAAAAGGTGGGCTGGATTAAAGGGAAGGTTGGGTATTTTAAATGTTTTGGGCTGAGGTTAATGGAATGGAGTGGGAATTAATTGGTGTTGGGTTGAGAAGGCAATTGGGCCTGGTTAAAGGACTTGGGCCGTTTGAAGTTAGGATGGAAGAGGGGGCTGGGAAAGGGAATTAATTGGGTTGAGGACGAAAGTGGACCTCGGGTAAATTGGGAGAAGGCCCAAATTCGGTTCTTTAAAATTGAAAGGGAAAATGGGTTCAATTTAACAAATAGCCAATTGATTTAAAATAAAACGAACTTGGTATAAATTTATTAACGAGCTTCTTTATTTAGTACTATAATTATTTAAATTATAAAAATAGTGATTCAAAATAAAATCATAATTTTAAACTAAATTAGTTTAATAGAATACTTAACACACACACACACACACACATATTTTTTTTGAATAATCATAAAATATATTAATTATATACATAATTATGTAAAATATATATATTATCTAGAAGTTATAAGAAATGGCAAAATTACTCAAAATAACGCGAACTTTATATATTTTCTTAAAATTTATAAAACTAATTATTTTAACTTGTTTGGAAATTCAAGATGCTCGAAAACTAATTTATACCTGCGCGGGTCAAAATTGGGTGTCAACAACTGTCCCTCATTTTACTTGGGTTGATGCAAGCAACTCGAGGAAAATGAAATTGACCGAACCAATTTTGACCAACTTCATTCGCTTCTTTTTTTTAAAAAAAAAAAGTTTTGACAAAGAGTTTAGGAATTATGGCCGAACCCTTGAAACGGGTCTCCTACATATCTCAGGCTATATGATAATTCAGGCCACTCGTAGTTCGATAAGCTTGATTTACCGCATGATTTTGAAAGAATCAAAAGCCATCTCGATACCAAATTATGAAGGTATCGAAATGATCGAGAGTAGAATTCGAGAGCGAATGTTGGAATACAACCGAGTTTTCAACATTGAATTCGCCTACATATCCTTAAACCTTCGGAATCAGGCTGTGTGTAGTTCGACTCGATAGGTGGAAAAGGAAATCTATTATGCTAGATAACCTTCGGTTTTGGACAAGTGACATGTTGAACGAGTATGAAAAAGAGGCTTGTAACCTCTTAGCCATGAATGTGGCGCGCTTCACACCCATAATTAAGAACTTACACGGACATAATTTCCAAAGCTCTTGGCGAGTTGTCACTCAGATTGGAAACTTGCTTCCGATAAGACTAAACTTCTGGAGGCGAGACAGAAACTGACAGAACTAAGGAAAAACCCGCGTGCTTCGAGAGTGGTGGTTCGATTGTGGTGGAAGTCGCTCCTCTGCTCGCGTCCCAAGAGTTTGACATTCCTCTTTGGACTATGTCCCAGTTCGCTACTAAGAAAAAGTTCCACATTGTGCTGCATCCTTTTTGATGTCATCCGCACTTGTGGTTTTTGGAGAATTCATCCTTTTGGATGCTCTCGACAAAGACTGAGATAAAAATCGCCAGCTTAAAAAATGCAATTAGGATGGAAGACAGTGTCTTTTACCATGTCGACACTTCATTGTTCTCCTCCATATTTGACGTCGACTCGATCGGTCTGACGTCTAGCAAATAAAGCTTATGCCTTGTGTTTTGCAATACGATCTTCAATGTACTCTTCATTTGATGCTAAAATAAATAAATAAATGTTGAAGCGATATTGATGCCTCTTTTGTCGTCATCTTCGATGCTCTCCTTGATGTTTATTTTCATAAGAAATAACAGAATGCAGTCGAGGCCAATGGATAAGTATTGCTCTTTCTTTATCCATGTACGTCCTCTTGCGGGGCATGAATATCTTCCCGCGATACGTAAATTCCTGCGAGGTATAAAATCTTTTCGCAATGTATAAATTTTGACGAGGCATGAAATCTTCTCGTCGTGCATAATTAATGACTCGCGATGCATTTCCGCGATGCATGATTTTTGCTATGCATGAATTCCAGCGAGGCATAAATTCTTCTCGTGATGTATAAATTTTGACGAGGCATGAAATCTTCTCGTCGTACATAATTGTCAGCGAGGCATAAAGCCTTCTCGCGATGCATAAATTTTGACGAGGCATGAAATCTTCTCGTCGTGCATAAATTTTGACGAGGCATGAAATTTTCTCGTCGTGCATAATTAATGACTCGCGATTCATGATTTTCGCTATGCATGAATTCCAGCGA